TTTACTGGTCATTGAATAGTTCTCTGATTGTTTATTCTGGTTAGAGAGTATCAGTGAACAGATATGAAATAGGACTGAAGAGCTGGTATATCCTAATCATCTGTCTGGTTCCATAGATGTAAGGCCCATTTCACTTTGCTAACTAGGGAAGGAAGAGTTAAATTTAGCCATGGAGGCTAAGTGGAATAGGAGATAAAATATATTCATACAAAACAGTATAATAGCACAGGTTGTGTTATTATGCAAGGCCTGTTTAGGAAATCAGAGTTTGTATTTGGGCACAGTGGGAAATTAGAAGTAGAAAACAGATTGGTAATACTTCATGGAGAACCTTGAATTTTAATCTTTTTTTTTTAATTTTTTTTGGGGGGGTCCGGTCATGGGGCCTGAACTCTGGGCCCAGGCGCTGTCCCTCAGCTCTTCAGCTCAAGGCTAGCACTCTACCACTGAGCCACCTTCCCAGCCCCTGAATTTTAACCTTAAGGTTTAAATTTTACCCCTATTTTTGGCTGGATAGTGTGTGTGTGTGTGTGTGTGTGTGTGTGTGTGTGTGTGTGTTTTTAGAAGTCAGAAATGATTTTTACTGGATCAAAATCACTATGTCAGCCAGGTCACATTCCCTCAGGAGGTTCTAAGGGAGAATCTGTTTCTTTGCCTTTTCTAGAGCTGTATTCTCTAACTTTTAGTCTCTTTTTCCATCTGCTCTGCCTGCATCTTGCATCCCTTGTCAGACTGCCTGGATAACTCAGGATAATCTTCCCCCTTACGCATCCTTAATTTAATAATATGTGCAAATCCCTTTCACCACATAAAATAACATTTACAGGTTTCAGAAGAAGACTTAGGACATGATTCATTCGCTTTGCTATAAATAGTTATCATTTAGTGAACATTTACCATGTACCATTTAAATTCTCAGAACATAACATATATTAGTTTATTTTTTCTGCCGAATTCTTAGTTTATACTGGTAGCCTGGCCTGTTCCTCCAGTTTGGTTTGTATTTGATAAGGGAGTACATTTTCTGAAAGGTGAAATACTTTAGTGTCTACAATTTTTGTCAAAAACTCAAGACTTTCAGAATTGGAAAGTGTTTTCATGGGTTGTCTGGCTTAACCTTCTGCTTTTCAAAGTCCCAATTAGGCATATTAAAAATTTTTTTAGCTTAATTTTCATCTTTGGAGTCTATTTCTTAGACACTTTGAAGAAAGTTTTGGAAATCGACATTCAGCTTCTTTGGGTTACTGATGTATTAAGTTCTACTTTCTTTTTTGCTATCTAAATTTGTATTTTTCAGTTGTCTTTAAAAATTAAATATATGGAATTTTTCTTTGGATTTTTTCCCATGAAAATATTGAATTTACTATTGTCATCATGGAATTGATTAACAGGATCTATAGCATTTCATTGGAAAAAATGTGACTTAAAACTTTAAAGCCAGTTGCCAGTGGTTCATGCCTGTAACCAAAGCTATTCAGGAAACTGAGTTCTGAGAATCGTGGTTCATACCTGGGCAAGAAAGCTTGTGAGACACTCTTACCTCCAGTTTACCTCTCAGTGGTTGAGTTATCTGAGTTCATGCCCCAATACTAGTGTGCATGCATGTGCACATACACAAGCTACTAATTGTTTTTTAATAAAATCAGAGGAATGAGAAAGAGGCTATTAATTGCTGATAGCATATATAATTGAAAAAAACTAAACCTAAAGTTGCTATTCCTTGTTTATAGTCCTACAGAGAGGAATTACATGGTGTTATAAGTACATTTAGCCAACAGTTCTTTCTGTAACATATCAGATGCTAAGGATACAAAAGATTCTATCCTACAGGATTTTATTGTAGTGAGGCCATGGATGTAGCAGAATAAAGCTATTGTATGTGCAGAGTTAACAAGTTGTGATGCTTTTACTTATAAGTAAGAGAGAAATCCCTACTACAGATGGCTTAAATCATACAGAGAGGGTTTTTTGTTTGTTTGTTTGTTTGTTTAGCAGCTCAGTAGCTCAGTTTTTCTCTTCAATGTTTTTCATAGATGAGCTTTATTCTGTGATTGGCTTACTTTGAGTTTGCATTATGACCACTAATGACTTTCAGACCTCCCCCATAAAGAGAGTTTCTTCCCTCTAACTATCAAAAGTCATACCCTTACTCTTACTAGATTAATCTTGATTATATATGATGAAGCACAATAGATCACAGAAGTCTTCAATTTCAGAGTGAGTAAGAAAGCAAAAGCTTAGAACTTCCAAAAAACTCAGTACATCCAAGAAAATTGGTATTAGCCCCATAGTCCCTTTATGAACATTATTTTTTTAACTTAATTCTCTTCTTAAAAGAAGAAAATAAGGAATTCTTAGTGTTAGGATGTAATTTAATTTATGTATTTATTTTGCCAGTCCTGGAGCTTGAACTCAGGGCCTGGGCACTATCTCTGAGCTTCTTTTGCTCAAGGCTAGCACTCTTTACTACTTGAGCCACAGCACAACTTCTGGTATTTTCCATTTATGTGGTAGTGAGGAATCAAATCCAGGGCTTCATGCATGCTAGACAAGCAATCTACCACTAAGCCACATTCCCAGCCTATATTTAATTTCTTCTTGAAGTAAATCTGGAATTCTTAATAAGAGCATTTTAGTTTAGTGATCTTTTGAATTTTTAAGACCCTAAAAGTTCCCAGTTTCTTATGTGGACTTGATGGTTTACACTTGTTTTCTCAACTACTCAAGAATCAGGATCAGAAGAATCAGTTTGAGGGCAGCAACAGCAAAAACAAACAATAACCAAAAACCTTATTATGCCCATTTTAATCAATGGCTAGTATGGTGGTGTACACCTGTCATTCCAGCTACCCAAGAAAGTATAAGTAGGCATATTGTTGTCCCAACCAGATGAACATAAGGGCAAGATCCTATCCCCCCAAAATAACTAAAGCAGAAAGAGCTAGATATGTGGCTTAAATGGTAGAGCACCTAGCTAGCGAGCAAGAAGCCTCCTTGGAGACTTTAGATTTGGGGGCATACATCTTTGTAGAAATTAGCAAGCAGATAATATTGTCCCTTGTAACTGGGACAGTAAGATAGGTTTTAATACTGTGTTCAAATGAATCACAGTTAATCTAGACCAATGTTTTATTTACAACAGGAAAATGCCAAGAGCAGAAATGTCAAGGCTTTCCCTAATAACCTCATACTTAAAATTTGAGCAGAATTTGGTTTAAAAAACCTACTTTTACTTTGCTACTAATATACTTATCAGACTCATAGGTTATAATGCTTTTAAATTTAAATACTCTTAAAATTGAATTAGGAGTACAGACTGCTTTGTTTTACATGTAAGCACTTTTATTTCTTTCTGCACAGTCTGGTATGCAATATTTGCATTCCAACAGTTCTGTTTCTCTCCAAGACAAATGTCCATTGAGTAGCCATAGCATGTGACACTGCTATAGGATTTCCAGATCTCGCTTGGGCAGACAGGGAGTAGAAAACAGATTATTTTCTAAATGTCTGACCAGTCTCAGATACAAGACCATTCTTGCATCCTAACACAGTTGGAAAAAGGCACTAAATAATACAGGATAGATCTATGTTTATGGGTTGTCTGATAAAGTACTGCCAGAATGTAAGTATCACAGCACAACCAAGAAGCGGTGCTAATATATTTAACACATTTGGTGAACCAACAATGCAGCCCTAACTTAAAAAAATATTTTTATGCTAAAATTAATTTAATGTCACTTAGTAATAGAGGAAAATAGTAATAGATTATATTGATGACCATTCCCAAGGCATAATAGTAATAACAGTGTTTATAGAGAAAGTACTCTGTGCCAGGCATTCTTTAGAGCATTTTTTTTGTGGGGGTCCGGTCGTGGGGCCTGAACTCTGGGCCTGGGTGCTGTCCCTCCTCTCTTCAGCTCAAGGCTAGCACTGTACCACTGGAGCCACAGCACCACTTCTGCTTTTTTCTTTTTGCTTATGTGGTGCTGAGGAATCGAACCCAGAGCCTCAGGCATGCAAGGCAAGTGCTCTACCACTGAGCCACCTTCCCAGCCCCTTTTGAGCATTTTTTAAGAATGGCCCCAGAGATAGGTTGTTACTTTGCCTTGGTAACAGATTGGCAAAAAAGGTCAGGCAGTTTGCCCACAGTCACACAGTATAGTAAGATTTAAATCCACAAAGTTGAACCAGAGTTCTTTTTTTTTTTTTTTTGTCAGTTGTGGGGTTGAACTCTGGGCCTTGGCACTGTCCCTGATCTCTTCAGCTCAAGGTGAATGTGGTGAATGCTCTACCACTTGAGCCACAGCGCCACTTCTGGCTTTCTGGTGGTTAATTGGAGATGAGTCTCAAGAACTTTCCTGCCCGGGCTGGCTTTGAACTGCAATCCTCAGTCTTCAGCCTCCTGAGTAGCTAGGATTACAGGCATGAGCTACCAGCGCCTGGCTCAGAGTTCATACTTTTAAAAAATTCTTTTGTAACGTTTCTATTAGCAAAAATTAATTGTGCAAAGGCATTTCATTGTAACATTTACATACGTTAAGTGAGGGCTCATAATTTAAATCACTGTGATATATACTTTCAAGTCAGGACTGAAATTGTCACTAAAAGCAGTCCCAAGCTGGCACTGGTGGCTCATGCCTGAAATCCTACCTACTCAGGAGGCTGACATCTGAGGAATTCAGTTCAAAGCCAGGTCCAGGTAGGAAAGTCTAAGATTCTTATCTCCAGTTAACTACCAAAAAGCTGAAAGTAGAGCTATGACTCAAGTGGTAGAACACTAGCCTTGAGCAAAAAAGCTCAAGGATGGTGCCCAGGCCCTTGAGTTTAAGCCCTAGGACTGGCACTAAAAAAAAATTAAAAAAATTAATTTACCAGTTGTATTTTATTTATAACTTGTGACAGGTATTTATAGATACAATTACTTTCCTACTTTGTTTTAAAATAAATGAGCATTTTGAAACTTACCTACTGACATTCAACACCCGTGTGTTTTATTCTAGGAGAAGACTTTGCAGTTGTGCAGCAAGAAATTATCATGATGAAAGACTGTAAACACCCAAATATTGTTGCTTATTTTGGAAGCTATCTCAGGTACAGTGCATGTTTCATTTTTGAAGAGTGACAATGATCGCATCACCTAGTTAATTTAATGAACCCATATTAACTACTCCCATGATTTGTAGTTTTCATGCTTTGAAGACAGGATATTTTGAATTTTTACTTATGACCTCATAATATTAATTCTGTAACCAATATTAGTCCTGTGACTTGGGAATTCTGGATTATAGTTTCAATTAGGAAATTGTTAAGTAAAAACTAACTTTTCTGCTTTTGGTTTGGAAGAGTATAGGTCTGGGCCTACCATCTGTGACCCCTTTCTTCTAGGTCTAGTGGAGTCCATCAGTACCTTCTCTTTCTATTCGGTGTGGGTTATTTTTGTTGTTGTTCATTTGTTTTGTGGTAGTACTGGGGCTTGAACCTTCAGGGCCTGGGTGCTGTCCTTTAGCTTTATAGCTCAAGACTAGCACTACACACTTAAGCCAATGCTCCACTTCTGTTTTTTTGGTGATTAATTGAAGAAGATAACAGCCTCATGGACTTTCCTGCCTAGGCTGGCTTCAATCCTCAAATCTCAGCCTCCTGAGTAGCTAGGATTACAGGTATAAGTCACGGGGCACTGGGCCCTGTTAGGCTTTTGGGTATTTTTGTTTTCGTTTTTGTTGTTTTTGCCAGTCCTGGGGTTGAACTCAGGACTGGGCATTGTTCCTGAGCTTCTTTTGCTCAAGGCTAGCTCTCTGTCACTTGAGCCACAGCACTACTTCCAGCTTTTTCTGTTTATGTGATAATGAAGAATGGAACCCAGGATTTCATGCATGCTAGCACCACTAAGCCACATTCCCAGCCCCCTGTTATGTTTTTATCAGTAATTTTTTCATATATTTTGTGCTTCTGGTCCCAGAATATTTCCTTAATTTTTGTCTGGAAGACTGAAAACTAATTATTTCAGTAATACAGTTCTACCAGGTTATAATGTGAATTTAGGACTGTGAGCTTGCCTCCTCTCTCTTATTATTATTTTTTGGCAGTACTGGTGTTTGAATTTTATCCTCTGCTTACTTTACTGGTGCTCTACCACTTGAGCTGTGTCTCTAGTCTTGCTTTTTTGTGTGCTACTCCTGGGACTTGAACTCAGGGCCTGGTGCTGTCCCTGAGCTATGTTGCTCAAGTATAGCCCTCTACCACTTGAGCCACAGCTCCACTTCTGGCTTTTTGATAGTTTATTGGAGATAAATGTGTGAGCCTTTCTTGCCTGGGCTGGCTTTGAACAGTGATCCCCAGATCTCAGCCTCCTGAGTAGCTAGGATTATAGGGGTGAGCCACCAGCACCCAGCCTAGCCTTGCTTGTTTTTTTCTTTTTTTTTGGGGGGGGGAGGAGGCATTGTCCCTGAGTCTCTTTTTGCTCAGGAGAGTGCTCTACCACTTGAGCCACAGCACAACTTCGGCTTTTTCTGTTTATGTGTATTGAGGAATTGAACCCAGGGCATCAAGCATGCTAGGTAGGCAAGCACTCTACCACTAAGCCACATTCCCAGCCCCCAGCCTTGCTTTTTGCTGTTAATTAGCCCTCAGACTGTTTCTCAGACTGTTCTGCCCAGGTGGACTTTGAACTTCAGTCCTCTGGAGTTCAGCCTCCTAAGTAACTAATATTGTCACTTCTTGTTTTGGCAGTTCCAAACCAAGTTCCTCAGATCTCCATTACCTTCTATATGCAATTCTGAATCTAACACTGTCCTAGTTGTCTTTAAAGTTCCTCCAAAGGAAGCTTGAATAATGCTTTTCTTTGCGTTAGAAAAAAATAATAATAAAGGTCTTCAATTTTTATCTCATATACTGTAGCACCATAAAAAATGTAACTTTTTGTGTTTCCCATTCTTGTATGGCACGGGTACAAAACACTTTCCCCTTCTTCTGAACATAGAGGATAGAAAAGACCAGAGCTATGCCTGCTTGTTTGCCAGCTTGTGGAAAGCTAACCTGATAAACCCTTCGTGATTCTAACCAGTCTTATTACAGAAGAGGGCTGGGGCTGGGAAGGTGGCTCAGTGGTAGAGCGCTTGCCTTGCATGCATGAGGCCCTGGGTTCGATTCCTCAGCACCACATAAGCAAAAAGAAAAAAGC